CTCCTTGTTGTTTTTGCTAACACAGACTAACACGGCTACCCCCTGATACTTGTGTTAGCAAAGGCTATTTAATAGTATATATACAGACTGTGAAGGCTCATGGCCCGGCAGCATGACAATACTACTACTGTTAGTCCAGGATGTGGCACCCACACAGCTCTGTCACACCAGCCCACCAGAATGCTAACCAAGGCACCCTACTATTCCAGCATGAGCCCCCTGCTCTCTCTAACTCTGCTAACTCCTACACTGCTGCTGTTCCATTTCTGGGCCTCTCATAAGCTTCCTTGTTTGCATACAAAGCAACGTATGCATGAAGATCAGCAAGCTTGACTGTTTTGATTAAGACTGTTTTCTGTCCAGTGGCTCTGCAACTGATCTTGCTGAACCTCTGCTGCTACAGGGTGGGAGTCATTCTAATGCACAGGGTGCCTCAGAGGTGCACAGTGAAGGGGTATGGAAATCTGAACCAAAGTGAAGAATGACCCAGAGGAACACAAAGTGTAAATTTACAGCTTCCCTGGGGCAGCTTTGCTTTAAACACCCACTGCTTTTTCAGTTAACAGTGGCATTGCCCACAGTACCTGAAGAACTGTGTTTAAAAACCTGTTGAAACACAGTACAAACCTGTCCACAGCAAAACTGATTTGGTAACACAGGTGAGTAAACGGGGGCAGGGAGAGTGAACTGTATTTTAAAAAGTGTGCAAAGATTTTTTTTTTTAAATGTGTTTAAACACAGTTTGTTAAAAGGAGCCAAAGAAAGCTCTCTCTCTCTCACACACCCCCACCCACCCACACCACTCCTGTAAAATTGCTCACCTGTTCTCTCTCAACCTGAGATAGCCTCAGGTGTAGCTGGCACAGAGAGGCAGCCACCTAGCTGGTGATGCTCTCTGCATCTGCTCCCTTGTAGCAACAACGGTGCTGGTAAATGATGGTGAAAAGAGGGTGGGTGGGGGTAACTGCCAGGGGAAGAAGGAATGATGGAGAACCACACAAAGGGGCTGAGGAAGAGCCAACATGAGTGGACTGAGGAGGAAGGAGGGGAGCTATCGATAAGGGAAGGTTGAAGAAAAGAAGGCCACCAAGAGTGGAAGATAGAATGAGGCATTCAGGAGCAGGGATGGTGTGGCGTGGATGAGAATGGACACTTTGGGATGAGGGAAAGGGAGCATTCTAAGATGGGGGACATTTCCCTTGAATATGGGACCCAGTCATGTATGACAACACCCATATCCAAACTGGGCCACAGTCAAAGACAGCTGGTGTCAGAACGTCAATTAGAAGGCAAACTTCATACCATAGTGTTTTCATTTACATTACATGAAAAATGGATTTACATGCAGTGCATAAGACAAGGTTTGTGTTATTCAGATATTCTGATTTTGTATCCTATAAAATAAAAAAAATGTATATTGGAACCGTTTGCAAAGGTTTTCATTTTAACAAACTGTCCAGCTTTCTTCAGCACTTTCCTCTGTTAAGCAGCTTATGCTAGTTGCCAAAACATGAAGTAAAAGAGTCTCATAAAAATAGATTTATAGAAAGTGCTCAACTGTATTGCACTGCTAAATGTTTCCAATACTCCATCTTCACCTGCGTCTGCTTTTATATTTTGTTCTCTGAACCCGATTTGTTGTGCTTAAAAGAAAGCATATTGTTAACATCCCAGTCCTATGCCTAGGCAAGTATTTTCTTTAACAATTCAGACATTGAGCTCTCTATTAATAATCCTGACTGGTGTGTTCATGTCACTAATGTTTTCTACTGCAAATTACAAGTACAAATGAATTACAAGCACAGGTACTATTGAATCTCTGACATGTCATTGTCCTCAAAGTGACAGTACACGCCTAATGACGTATGGGAAGAGTTTATCATGAGAACAGGGTGCTCTAGCAATCATTCCTTGAAGGCAACAGACACATTTATACATAAGTGAATGAGACAGCACCAGATTTACAAAAGAGAATGTTACCTATAAATCAACCTTCCCTCATCATCTAGGATACTGAATGTATTAGGCAACTCTGATCCCACACGAGACTGCTGCCACTTAATCATAACTAGGACCTTTTCCTCTAGGGGAAAAAGGTCAGGGGGAAAGATGACAAAGATGGAAATAGATTCTTGGCCTGCCTGTCTCCCTACAAGAAACCCATAGTAAGAAAAGTGTCCTTGTTCTGTTTAGGATGTGAAATGTTCATAATATTCAGTGTTTCTCTTACATTCAGTGAAAACAAACTTTGAGCTGCACTTGTTCATCCTATTACCCTGGTCACTGACATACTCAAATTAAATGCTTTGTGGGGTGACTTCCTCTAGGTTAGCTCTCACTCATTCACCTAATCCTACATACTGTCCCCAAAATCCTAATCCAGACACAAAGCCAAATTTAAACACTGAAGCCTACTGTTCCCACCAGATCCCATTATCATTTTCTTTCTTGAAGGGGCCTCATAAAGTTTAAAAAACAAAAACAAACAAACAAACACCACCACATTTGTCTTTTTCTTTTAGCTATTGCTACTAAGGTCTGGTCTACACTAAAGACCTATATTGGTATAACTACATTGCTCAGGTCAGGCCACATGTAGAGGGCCGGCTCTAAAGTTTTTGCTGCCCCAAGCAAAAAAAAAAAAAAGCTGCGATCGCGATTGGGAACTCTAATGCCGCCGCCGGGGCTGGTGCCTGTAGCCGGCCCTGCACATGTACACTACAGACCTTACAGCGGCACAACTGTATCAATGCAGCTGTAAGAGTGCTCGTGTAGCAGTTCTATGCCAACAGGAGAGAGCTCTCCCGTCTACATAATAAAACCACCTTAACGAGTGGCAGTTGCTATGACTGTGGGAGAAGCTCTGCCAACATAGCACTGTGCACGCTACCAGTTATGCCAGTGAAATTTATGTTACTCGGGGAGGGGGTGTTTTTTTCACACCCCTGAGCAACATACATTTTACCGACATAAGTGGTAGTGTAGACATGGCCTTAGAGTACTATAACAGATTTCGGTTTTTGAAGTTTGTTTGCTTTGAACTCCATGAGACTGTTTACACTATGGGCACGTCTTCACTACCCGCCAAATCGGTGGGTAGCAATCGATCTATTGGGGATCGACTTATCGCGTCTAGTGAAGACGCGATAAAATCGATCCCCGATGGCTCTTCCGTCGACTCCGGAAATCCACCGCGGCAAGAGGCGGAAGCGGAGTCGACGGCGGCGCAGCAGCGGTCGACTCACCGCCGTCCTCACCTCACCGCCGTCCTCACAGCCAGGTAAGTCGACCTAAAATACGCCACTTCAGCTACGCTATTCACGTAGCTGAAGTTGCGTATCTTAGGTCGACCCCCCCACCCCGTAGTGTAGGCCTAGCCTATGTGTCCATACAGGGACTAGCACAATGGAGCCTTGACTCATGCCCCCAGGCATGAATAAAATGCAAATAATAGGCAGCATTTTGTGTGTCTGTTTCCCTGAATACTTAAGTTGGGGTTCATCCACACTACAACTACAGCCACAATTGTTTTGTAACTGGTTAGAAGCACGTCACCTTAACAGAGGTTAAGGAACCTAGTTCTGTTTGTTTCCACACAACCTCCAAAGCTGTGTTTGCATATTTGCATATCCACCCACACCTGCCTTGCTATCGGTGTTTGTGTTATTGCATTCTGGGACAATCTGGCAGCTCTCTTGACTCAGCAAGGAAGTTTGGGAGGAACACTGCACTACTAGAACGAGAAGGAGGTTCCTGGATAAAGCTGGGTGAATAATTTTTTTATTTTTTTTAAATAATTGACAATTTTAAAAAAGTTTTTTAAAAAGTCATTTTGGATCAGACCATCAAAATTTTTGGGAAACTGAAAAGTAAAAAATAAAAAAAAATAAAAAATTTGGGTTGAATAAAACTGTAGATTTCAAACATTTTAAAAAAAACTTTTTAATAAATCAAAGAAACTTTTGAAACAAAAAATTGTTTTCAGACCAAAAATAAATCACAATTTGATTTTTTTTCAGAATTTGTTTTCTAATTGAACAATTTTGCAAAATAAACAAATTTGCAAAACAGTTCATTGCCACTGAATGCACACTTTTCTCCAAAAAAAGTTTCATCTGCCAAGTTCTATTCCTGGACATTGTTAGAAGAAACAAGAGAATTATTAATTATAAAAATAACATACACATATATAGCATCTTTCAGCCCAAAGCATTTTACAAACTAGGGGTCAGATCTGGCACTCACTTCATATTACTCAGTGGGAACTTTGAGTGTGCAAATAATTCCAGTATCTACTTACATAAATATAAGTCACCTTACCACTGAACTGCAGCCACCTCTGGAGAGGAATGCGGGAGCTGTTTAATAAGGCTACACAGCTGTTTAGAACTGGAAGTGAGAAACAATACAACAAAACTTCATGGGGAAATTTACCATTGTTGTTTGCAGCACAGTAGCTGTGTTGGTCCCAGGATATTAGAAAGATAAGATTTTATTGGACGAACTAAAAATAAAAATATTTTACCTCACCCACCTTGTCTCTCTTGAGAAATTTAGGCAGACAGGAGCTTGACTTCCACCAGTGCAGATAGGACTATCCCAGGTTCTCAATGGTAAAGGTGTGTTTAATTTATACAAAGTTGGCTAGGATAGATGTTCTGTCTGTACCAATATGAAAAGTTCCCTATTGGATGGATTGGCATTTGGCATATTTTCATGTGATATGTGGTTAGCATTTTTAATCACTACTTAGCTTACCTTGTAAGTTACTTTATGCCCTCTCGTTATTAGTTCATGTTCATACAACACTTTGAGCGCCTGATTTGAAAGACACTAGATAAGAGTGCAGTATTAGTTGCTGTCCTCCAGGGATGCAGCATGCGGTGTAGTGTGGGGAGAAGTTTTGCTGGTTGAGATCCAGATCTGATCTGTGTCAAAGGTTAGGAGTGTCTGGATCTTGCCCTTCTCATTAGCTCCCCAAGGATACGCCTGGAACTGCCACTTTCACTTCTCCTCCAAGTCAGGCGGGTGCCGGCTGTGGGACGGCTCTCCTCGCCCTGTTTTGTTAGTCTGGGAGCAGTGATTCCAACCCCGCCCTTCCCGCAGGGCGGGCAGGGGAGGAGACAGACAGACAATGGCTTTTACCTGTCCCGGAGCGGGAGGAGGAGCCGCCACAGGAGAAGGGAGGAACAAAGTCAACTCCGAGTTTACACGGGACCGGCGCCGCGGGTAGCGCGAGAAAGCGAGGCGCAGCGGGCTGCCGCTGGAGCCAAGGACTCTCCGGCAATCCAGCCAGGTCCCCCTTTGCCTGGGGGAGGATTGCAAGGAGCCGGGGCGGCCCGAGCTCTCTGCCCGGGGCCGGTGCTGCGTTGGCCGGGAGGGGAGAAGGAAACAACGGCAACTTCTGTTTCCCCGCCGAGCTGCTAGAGACTTTTTCTGGGCTGGCAGCTCGCGGCGATCCTGGTGCGCCCCCGGCTCCCCTTCGTGTGGGGGCGGCTCTGAGCCCGGCCAGGGGAGAAGCGGCGGCGCTTTCTCTGCCCCCAGCCCAGTTGGTGACTTTGGGGCGGGGGGCGCTACTGCAGGGAGCCGTCTCTCTCCTGGACCACACGCGGTCGGTGGCTGGGTGGGTGGATCCCCGGAAGGGAAGAAGCGGCGACGCTTTCTCTGCCGCCCGCTCCCCGTTGTTGGTGCCTTGGTTTTTGGCGGGGAGCGGGTGCGTTCCCCGGCACCTCCTGCGCCTTCCTCCCTATGGCCAGCTGCCCTCATGGCTCTGAGCAAGGGGCTGCGGCTGCTCTGGAAGCAGGAGCCGGCTCCGAGCGCCCTGCTCGAGGCGCGCAGCCGCCACGACTGTCTGCTGCTGGAGGCCGGCACCGTGGCCACCCTCAGTAAGTGCCTCTGGCGGGCAGGGCGTGGCTGCGCTGAGCGCACCTGGGAGTGCGGGGCGGGGTGGGTCAGACTGCGGTGTGTGTGTGTGTGTGTGGGGTGGGGTGGGGTGGGGGGCTGTTCATGTGGGCACAGACCAGTATCCAAGGTCTAAGCGTCCAGAGACAGATTTTCAAAGAGCTCAGCTCCCAGTTAGGCACCAAAGTAAGGGCAGATTTTCTAAGGTGCTCCGGGTCTCCCGAGCTGAATCTGCCCTTGGCTGGGCTGCTGTTATCGGGATCCCTACACGTGTGAAAGTTTGGGCTGCTCTGCAGAAGGCTAAGGCTCTAACAATTACACCTGTCAGGGGGCTGGTAGCCTCCTCCCCACAGTGGGACAGCAAGGCCAGGGTGACACTAGACTTTTTCCTTCTACTGTAGTTACTGTTGGCACGGCCTCATCAGCAGTACCAACAGTGGAGGAACTAGTGTAGAGGAGGGCCCGGAGCCTTAAAGTATTACTCAGAGTTCAGCATTGTAACGCCCGCTGCCTTGCCACACGCTGAAATTTTCAGCCCCAAATTAGGTGTTCAGGTTCCCCCTACCAGTGACTCGCAACCTTTCCAGACTATACTGTATCCCTTTCAGGAGTCTGATTTGTCTTGCGTACCCCTAAGTTTCACCTCACTTAAAAACTACTTGCTTACAAAATCAAACATAAAAATACAGAAGTCTCACAGAACGCTATTACTGAAAAATTGCTTACGTCTAATTTTTACCATATAATTATAAACTAAATCAATTGGAATATAAATTTTGTACTTACATTTCAGTGTATAGTTTATAAAGCAGTATAAACAAGTCATTGCATGACATTTTAGTTTGTATTGACTTTGCTAGTGCATTTTATGTAGTCTGTTGTAAAACTAGGCAAATATCTAGGATGGTTACCTAATTTCCCCATCCTGAAATGAAGATTAAAACAAAAACAAAAAATACCTGTGGCACTATAGAGTTGTGCAATTGTACTTTTGTGCAACTTCATATGGGTTTAAACTTCCATGCTCTTTAGAAACAAAAACCTACAGCTGCAACACTGATGTGCAAAACTATAAAGCGGTAGCCTCTTATATACATAAAATTGTGAGAAATTCTTTGCTGAACATGGCGAAAACAAATGTCAATCCCTAATCATTTTATTTACAAATATTTTTTCATAGTTACCAACCAACCATTAGTCATCAAGGACTAGGGCCAGGGGACATTTGAAGTTTTTTGGGGGGAGGGGTCAGTTCCTTTGTTTATTATGCACAAAAAGAGACTCATAATTTTTTTTTAAATGGGAAAAGAATAAATATTTTCCCTTCCCCACCACTATTAGTTAAAATGACAGAATGGAATGATAGCAAGTATGGAAACGGAGATTTTACAAGCAAGAAATTTAAAACAAAACTGGAAACTGATCTAAGCCCAATGTTTCAGTTTGTAAATCTTTGGCCACCTTATAACTTAGAACCTCTTTGTTTTGTACAATGAAAAATTTAAAATCACATTCAAAGCAATGACTGGACACCTTTTTTCCCCTTTTCAAGCCTCTGAATGAGTCAGAATTACAATTTCAGTTGTCCTTGTGTCTCCCTGTATTTCTAGTGTGTTGTACTGCATACAATGTCTTTATCATATTCCCAGATAAAAAATACATTGAACTGGAGTTAAGGTTGGGCATACATATCAGTAATGGGAAAGGCACTATGAGGCTGTTGTAATTATCTCCAAAGCCAGCATTACAAGCCCAGGAAATTCAGAGTTCAATTTAATTTAAAAGATATATTTAGATTTGGAAATGCATCTATGGCATTCAAACAACCTTAACTCCTCCCTATAGTGATGCCATGTAATAGCCAGACAATTAAGATTAGTGCATAATAAATAGTGTTTGTAGTCCTAGATTAGATTAAATTGCTATTTAAAGATACATTTGATTTTTAATTTTTTTCCTTATAGTGTCACCATGGTGTGAAGTTAAGGTTGTTTGGGTGCATTAACAGTGCATTTTGAAAGAGAGCATTTTGCCAGTGGCAGCCCTACAGCTTCAATCTCATTTTATAACAATGGAAGAGGGTAGCCATTTTGAAAGAGAACAGTTCTTCATGGAATTCACAGTAGAAGAACATTAAGCATTAGCCTCTGCTGAAGAAGCAACTTTCACTTATGAAGAATAGTGGGGAAAATTATTATTATTAAAAACAAGTCTCTCAAAGATTGCAAGTTGGAGAAAATAGCGGTAGACACTGTCCCTGCCTTGAAGACCATACAATCTGTGAAAATGAGCAACATGCCAAGGCCCCAGAGCTTCAAACATATAGGCATGTGCTTAACTTTATTACTTATGAGTGAATCCAGTGAAATGATGTCAACGGGACTACCTGCAGTAGTAAAGTTAAGCAAATGCATAAGTATTTGCAGGATTGGAGCCAAAGGGTGTGGGACAAGGATAACATTCAGTTTGTAAGCTCTTGGAGCAGAGACTGCCATTTATTATATGTTTGTACAGTGCCTAGAACAATGGGGCCCACCTGGTTGGGCCTTTAGCTGCTACTGCAATACAAATGCTTAATAATCATAATAATTACACATTTTATATACATCTGCTATATTAAAATTAATTTTAGCTTTGTAATTACACCTCTACCCCGATATAACACAAATTCGGATATAACGCGGTAAAGCAGTGCTCTGGGGGGGCGGGGCTGCACACTCTGGCGGATCAAAGCAAGTTCGATATAATGCGGTTTCACCTATAACGCGGTAAGATTTTTTTGGCTCCCGAGGACAGCGTTATATCGGGGTAGAGGTGTACACATACATCTAGACCTTTCCCTAGCTGCTTCTTAGCATATTCTTTCAGCTGATCTTAGTAGTCAAACACAAATAATGCACAAACTATTTGACTGCTGTACGTTGATTAAATGTAATTTGAACATGTTTATATTTACTAAAATACAGAAAAGAACCCACAGTGTGATCCATTTTTCTCTCATGCTGAGATAATTATATGGCAAAGTTCAAAACTGTGTTTGCATTCTTAAAACTTTGTTTGCGTTCTTAAATGTCAAATTATCCTTTTCTTTTTGGAATCTTTTGTAGTCTGTTGGAACATGTTCTATATAAGCACTGATGCATTACATTGTGTGGGCAAATTGTTGAATACATGTTTTGTGCACTTGAGGGTGAAGCTTATTAGTGATGAATGTAGTCTATAGGATTCGTATTTGTTATACATTAGAAAACTATGCAAATTATGCGTAAATGGTTCCTGATGGGCTAGGTCTACATGTCATAGATAATAATAGCAAGTTAGATATTAAAATAATATATTACCATGTTAAGATAACTAAGCCGCCACAGTCACAGATGTTTTATGACTTGTATGTTACACAACAGTTGGCCTTAAGTTCATCAGAGGAGTTTCAGAGCAGGCTTTTGCTGGGTGTGCTGCTATGTTTACCGATTAGACCAACTCATGCTACACTTTACACAATGTGTTTTTCATTATTCTATAACCAGACTTTTGTTGGGATGTTAAATTAAAAAGTATATACTATAAATATAGTGTGTGTGTAAATCAGCTTGCTAGAATGTGAATATTTCCAGTCTAATACCGAAGCCCTGGGAACTAACCTCTCTGAAGTGCTATTCCTAGGGCTTCTTTTTGGAATGATAATGTTTAGTTTCTAGAAAATTGCTAAATCATCTGATTTTTGTTAATTTAACATCCTAATGCACTGACAGTAATCCTGGCCCAAAACCTCATTTTGTAAAGTGATAACATCTTCTTTGACCTACCTGGTATTACAGAATAGATCCTGATTGCTGAAAGCCTATGTGGAAGGAGGTTAAAGCTGATTTAGCAAAACTGAATGTGGGATAGGAAGATTTTTAGTGAAAAAAATAATTATTTTGTTTGTTGGAACTGGTAGAACGTGAGTATATGTAATGTCTTTGGCCTTTTTGGTGAGGATGGGAGAAGGACGTCAGAATCAGCTTAGTCCATCTTAGTCCATCAGCTTAGTCTATCATATTTATAGGATGCCACTAAGCACAATCCTAGGTAATATGCTGACTATATTGTTTCTCACAATGTGATGTGAGAAACACATGTGATCAGGTTTCTATTTGTTTTGTGTTTGCTTCTTGTGGAAAAGTTCTCATGTTTCTCTGGTTAGTAGCAGAAACACAGATGAGGTGAACAAGCTGCTGCTGCCTCCACCACATCACAGCTTTGATCCTGCAAATACTTACACATGTTATAAAATTTACACACATGAGTACATAGAGTTAAGCAGGTATGCAAGTGTTTGCAGGATCAGGACCTAAGTAGGCAGAGGGAGGAGCTAGATCCTGCCACTGGGTGCCAGGCTCTCTTCCTCCTGCTCTTTTCTTGAAAAGCCACTTGCCTCTATGTCAGCCAATGTTTTTAGGTGTGCCCGGCTCCCACCCTAATTTAGCTGTAGGAACTGTGGTCTCTCTCTGCCTTTCTTCTGCTGAGGCACTTATAAAAGTACCAGTTACTTGGGTTCCAAACATTTCTGTCCCAATTCTGCTCCCACTGAAGTCAGTGGGAGTAGGATCTGACCCTTAAGGAATACAAAGGAAACTCTATAAAGGATTTTGCGCTCTGCCCCTTGAATTGGCCACTGTTACTTAAAGGGCATAATTCACAGAGAAAGATCATGCTTGATTAGTGCATTTTGAGATGTAGGAGTTTGAGTGGTGCTTTTCATTAGGTTCTGAAATAATATTTTTATACGTTATATGGAAAAGTCATCACTTTTTATTGGATTTATTAAAGGCTAATTGCATTGTGTCAGTACATCTGCTTGCGCCTTTGCTGGGGTTAAATTTTTGAGAAGGGAGCCAACTTGGTATAGAATTTAGATCAAGAGTGTCTAATATTTGATGCTAAGAAAGGTGCTTGAAGAATGTTCTGTGTGCTGTGTACACCTTGCCTCCTCTAAACCAGA